CTCCCCTCTCACCTCTCCCCTCTCCCCTCCCCCTCTCCCACTCCAAAAGTATAAGCACAAATACTATTTGATATTTACCATATTCTGACATGATATCAATGATGTCTTGGTCAGAAAGTTTTCTCGCTTGAACAGCGGTGGTCTCGTACTGAACGCATAAACTTGAATTGACAACGCAGTTGTTTTCTTCTCTTTGAAGATGATCATTATTAACGGCTGAAACTGACACAACTAAAGTCCAACCACCGTCTGGTAATTAAGCATATATTGTAGATTAAGATTGTCAGTGAGTCGATCCATTCATCTATCCAAACCCACCATAACCCATCCATTGATTCACCTATCCAATCCCATCCCATCCCATCCAATCCCATCCTATCCATCCGTCCATCAATTCACCCATCCATCGAACTATCCCATCCCATCCATTCACTCACCCATCCACTTATCCCAGCCTATCCATCCATCCACCAACCCATCCATCCCATCCATCTTCCCATAAATTCATCCCATCCATTCCCCCATCGACCCCATCCATCCATCATTTCATTCGGTGCTTTTGATTTGCTAACAAAATTTATTAGAAAAATTATCGAAGTTTTAGTGACAAAATCTTTTGGGTTTGTTTATCTTAGATGCATTTTACTGACCGTATTTTTCCATRTCGCAATAAACTGTCAAAATCTTTCCACGCTTTGTCCGGATAAGGTAATATCCACTTTTGGCCGATCGTTTTCTAGCTTTTGCTTCTGAACAAGATTGCGTAACGGGCTGATCATTGGCAAAAAAAATAGTTTTTTGAGATATAAAGTGCTACACACAATTAGCTAAGTCTTCTATATTTAAAGTCAAGTCAAGTTAAGTAAAATCAATGAAATATTTAAAAAACAATTATATGTTTTGTTGAATAAAAGTAAACAAAATTAAATATAATTGGAAAAAAGATAAAGTAAAATAAAAAGATAGGAGGTGATGAGACAATGAGATAAAATAAATAAAATAAAAATAAATAAACAAGTTACAAGACAAGATGAAATAGAATGAAATGAAATATCTTGTATAGCCCAGTAACGTCATCATACCTTTTTCGTTCGCCATCCACCATAGCTGTAGCCTTGTCTCTCTGTGTAGTCGTTAGGAAAGTCATGTTTATCAGCAATATTCAGTTCACAGGTCTTACTTTCGAAATGAAAATTTGTGCTTCTACAGAAACCAGCCACAATACACTGATCCGTGCAGTTCTGGAGGTTGGTGTTGGGGATCGACTGAACCAAGTTGTTTTTCAAGTATTTACCGTATGTAGAGGAGAAAACATTACATTGTGATGCCATGGCAAAAAAGGTACGCCATAGAAGGTATAGCAACGATGGAAATAAGAGTCCTGAAAGCCGTATTAAATAATAATATTTATTATTGACGAGAAATTGTCCGAATGAAAAAGTATCTCAAATTTTCGATCTTGCTTACTTTCTCGCTCCATCCACTTCCGCCCTCCCTCCCTTCCTTCGTTCCTTACTTCCTTCCTTTCCTCCTTCGTTCCTTCTTTCGTACGTTCGTTCGTTCAGGTTCGTTCCTTTTTTCATCCTTCGTTTATTCCTTTCTTTCTCCTCGGTGAAACAAAGTCATTCCCAGCGACAGCTACAAATAATGAGCCAAACTTACCTCTCATGACCAAGGTTGTGACTGTGAATATTTTCAGATTAAAAGTCAATTATCAATGAGAGAAAAGTAGATCAATTGCCTTGAGGTTTAGCTAAAAAGTCTTCATTCCTCACACAACCCAATTGTGTGCCTATCACTTTCACCTGCATGCGTGATCTCAGTATTCTAAAAGTATACCACAATCAGTTGTATTTCTCAAAGGCTTTTTGATACACCCTGTAATTACATGGCTACGGTGCAGTTACCACAACCGTATTCATAAGATTCTTTACTAACTTAGTTAATTTTTAATGCTTGCTACACGCGTAACTGACACATATAATTATCTTAGTTGGGACTTTCTGATCTAGTCAACCATTTATAAAGTTAGATAAAGTCAATAAATATGGGGTAGACTATGTTTTTACTTTAAAAGAAATATGTCGTTTCTTCCTTTTTTTGAAAATGTCGAACATTCTTTTTCACGTAGCCATGCAAAAGGGTGATAGCTAGGTGTGGCAGTAGAAACGTTAAAAAAACAAGAGAAATGGAATGAACCTGTTTATACTTTGCTTTCAAATCATGTCCAAACTACGTTATCGTCACCTGAAGGTAGAGTTCTCGATAAAAGTTCTATTTACCACTTTTCATAATTATTCAAACAACACAGAATTGCTCCCCTATAAGTATCGTGCACCGAAACAGATGGCTTAAACAAAGGATTCCATTCGAGAAGTATTCAGGTTTTTACAACCTGCAAAGATGCATTATTTGTAGGCAATAATTATTTTGACTCTTCACTATTCTTACTATCAATATCGTAGTTAAATCTAGTTACTATGAACTAATTAAAATTTTATTGACTTTATATTGTTCAACAAAAAGATATCCTTAACACTGAATCATTACCTTGATAGATAGATGGTTTCGTCGTGTAAAGAATGTTCGACATTTTCACAAAAAAGGAAGAAACGCCATATTATTTCTTTTAAAGTAAAAACATAGTCTACCCCATATTTATTGACTTTATCTAACTTTATGAATGGTTGACTAGATCATAACTATATGGGTTATGTGTCAGTTACGCGTGTAGCAAGCATTAAAAATTAACTAAGTTAGTAAAGAATCTTATGAATACAGTTGTGGTAACTGCACCGCAGGCATGTAATAATAATTAATAATACTTTATTCAAAAAAATGCAGATTACATATTTTGAAAAGGAAGACATTGAGGTTAGCCCTATATAAGTCCCCTAAAATTAAGTCCCCTAATTACGCGGTGTATCAAAAAGCCTTTGAGAAATACCTTTTTGTGGTATACTTTTAGAATACTGAGATCACGCATGCAGGTGAAAGTGATAGGCACACAATTGGGTTGTATGAGGAATGAAGACTTTTTAACTAAACCTCAAGGCAATTGATCTCCTTTTCTGTTATTGATAATTGACTTTTAATCTGAAAATATTCACCTTGGTCATGAAAGGTAAGTTTGGCTCATTTTTTGTAGCTGTCGTTGGGAATGACTTTGTTTCACCGAGGAGAAAGAAAGGAATAAACGAAGGATGAAAAAAGGAACGAACCTGAACGAACGAAAGAACGAACGAACGAAAGAAGGAAGTAAGGAACGAAGGCCTAGGGAGGAAGGCAGGGCGGAAGGCAGAGATGGAGCGAAGGAGGGAGCGAGCTCGAAAACTCGAGACACTTCTTCATTCCGATAATTTCTCGTCAATAATAAATATTATTATTTAATACGGTTTTCAGGACTCTTATTTCCATCGTTGCTATACCTTCTATGGTGTACCTCTTTTGCCATGGCATCACAATGTAATGTTTTCTCCTCTACATACGGTAAATACTTGAAAAACAACTTGGTTCAGTCGATCCCCAACACCAACCTCCAGAACTGCACGGATCAGTGTATTGTGGCTGGTTTCTGTAGAAGCACAAATTTTCATTTCGAAAGTAAGACCTGTGAACTGAATATTGCTGATAAACATGACTTTCCTAACGACTACACAGAGAGACAAGGCTACAGCTATGGTGGATGGCGAACGAAAAAGGTATGATGACGTTACTGGGCTATACAAGATATTTCATTTCATTCTATTTCATCTTGTCTTGTAACTTGTTTATTTATTTTTATTTTACTTATTTTATCTCATTGTCTCATCACCTCCTATCTTTTTATTTTACTTTATCTTTTTTCCAATTATATTTAATTTTGTTTACTTTTATTCAACAAAACATATAATTGTTTTTTAAATATTTCATTGATTTTACTTAACTTGACTTGACTTTAATTATAGAAGACTTAACTAATTTTGTAGCATTTAATGTTTCAAAAAACTTTTTTTTGTTGCCAATGATCAGCCCGTTCCACAATCTTGTTCAGAAGCAAAAGCTAGAAAACGATCGGCCAAAAGTGGATATTACCTTATCCGGACAAAGCGTGGAAAGATTTTGACAGTTTATTGCGACATGGAAAAATACGGTCAGTAACCCAAAAGATTTTGTCACTAAAACTTCGCAATCTTTGTAATAAAATTTGTTAGCAAATACTAGATTATCGAATGAATCGATGGGTGGATAGGGTCGATGGGGGAATGGATGGGATGGAATTTATGGGAAGATGGATGGGATGGATGGGTTGGTGGGCGAATGGACGATTAGATTGGTAAATGGTTATCGATGGATGGGTTGGGGAATTGATATAGGTGAATGGATCCACTCACTGACAATTTTAATCTACAATATATGTCTTGATTACCAGACGGTGGTTGGACTCTAGTTGTGTCAGTTTCAGCCGTTAATAATGATCATCTTCAAAGAGAAGAAAACAACTGCATTGTCAATTCAAGCTTATGCGTTCAGTACGAGACCACCGCTGTTCAAGCGAGAAAACTTTCTGACCAAGACATCATTGATATCATGTCAGAATATGGTAAATATCAAATAGTATTTGTGCTTATACTTTTGGAGTTGGAGAGGGGGAGGGGGAGGGGATAGGGG